CAGCAAATTCCGTGACATACCGGACCCAGATTTATTTTTGACGACGAACTGTAAAATTCAGCAATGGTACTCAAAATAACTTGTCAAATATTTCCTGCCGCAAAGCACAAAAGAGCAGTCAACCCTAGAAGTTAGGGCGGATGCCAAAAAATTTTATGCGCTTTTTAGAGTTATTCAGATTATTTTATTGGGTAAGAATCTTGCAAACTTGTATAACTTCCCGCCTTGTGTAGGCCTGGGTAACTCCAGTAGTTCAGTATTAGAATTTACTGACATGTTGCACCAAATGCTCAGCGAAAAAAAAATACATGAACCGTCTATGTTATGAAGGAAAGTATACCGTTTTCAAAATGTATATCTTGTCTTTTTAACGATTTTCCAAATATTTGCAGCTTTCTATATATTTCTCTTTCTAGATGTGTGCAACCACACTTTCCCTTCCCTCTCTCTACTCTTACTAGCATTTAAATGACTTATGAAATACGAAGATATAGAACTCAAGGACCATATTCGGGATATGCCGGTTGTTCAGATGTTTACCTTTACAAGTTCGTTTATTTATGTACCGTTTGTCGCATGTGCTCAAATGCCAATGTTTGACACTGGAATACATACATGCACACTAACGAATATCACATCGGTGTTAGTGAAAGTAGCGGGTGACCACGTCCACTCAAGGACGCAACAATTGTATGTTCCCCGAACTCTTTTGAGAGCGGAAAGCTCGAAGTATGTTCTCATGTATTGATAAATAGTCGCTGACATATGTGGGCGCTTGTGTGTGCGTGATAACTGGAAATATGGGTAACACAGATACAGCCACAAGCTGTGTCATAGAGCACTTTTAACGGTATTTGTGCACGCACTGATTGTCGGTGAGTGTCAATGTCGTCCAATGTCCTGTCAATGGTTTTCATAGCGACATTTATGCGGTATGGGGTCAATTACAATTTTGTTAACATACTTACATACTGTCTATATGTATAGATATGTATAAATATATTCGTTTATTTACAGGTGGACAGGTCACACGCGACAAATACGTAAACTTATGCACATTCAACCAGACTGATTTGACTAAACTTAGGATTAGCGAATGAGTTTAGTGGCGAAAGTCTCCGAAGGAATGCTTTTATTTGAACTAATTAGTACTTTTTCGACGAACATATACATATATTATATATAACTGATCAGCGTGTGAAGCTGAGTCCATTTAGCCATGTCCGTCTGTCTGTTTGTATAAAAGCGAACTAGTTCCTCAATTTCGGAGATATCGATCTGAAATTTGGCACATGTCCTTTTCTCCACACGAAGCTGCTCATTTGTCATATCGGCCATACAAATTGAACGATCGGAGTCAATTTCTGATATAGAAAACTTTTTTACGCAACAATCTTCAAAAATATTTTCGGATCGGACCACTATAGCATATAGCTGTCCTACAAACTGGTATTATAGCTTCGGTGCAACCGAAGTAAACGTGTTTTCTTGTTTTTTAATAAATATAATATATTTTTTATTCTTTGACAAAATCCTTATAGACACTAACGTAAGGCTATCTTGCTATCTCGTTGCATATTATCATTCAAGTCTGGTTTTATCCCTGCCTCGGATTCATCTAGAGAGGGTCTTAACTTCGCTTTGCTTTTCTGTCGCTGAAAATGTTGCTTAGAGTCTTCCTACATGTGTTGACTACACTGGAATTAATGTCTGGATATCTGTTTATATATCTCTCTGAATACTGCAAACCGTAGTTATTTATACATCTCTAAGCTTATTACTTCCGCTTGGAAGGTACTAACTGAGTTTGGTAGACAGATAAAAAGAAAGAGAAAGAGAGAGATGTCAAGATCCCTGAATAATGGGTGGGTATTTTCCTATTCTACTAAACCTTTTTTCCATTCACGTCTGGAGAGTATCCTCACCTGGAAGTAACTCCTTAATTCTTATATCGAATGAAATCTATGAGCAGTTGATGCAGGATCATAGCAAGCGCATCAGTCGGATGTTAACAAAATTACTCAATTTAATTTTATGGAAAATGCACACAATTTAAAGAGGTTTTGTGTTCTATGTGATTCTGGTACGATTGCGTCAAAATTGAGGAAACCATTACTTGACTATTGAATACTGTGGAAAAATGGTATTTTACTATCAGAAAATTCTGTTTTATCAAGTCACGAAATTATCTTTATTGATTAGCGAAGGTAGCCTTACTTTTAGACAAATAGCTGAAAAACAATTTGATGACATGTCATGAAACTTTGACTAATGTTAGTACTCTAAGACAAGTGTAGAGATTTTTTGTTCGTGGCCGAACCACTTGAGGGCTTGTGTGAATGGTAAAGAAGACAATTTCGAAAAAAATTTTGTACTACTTACTTAATATACATATGTATTATTAAACAAAACTAAATTAAAAAAAAATTATTATATTTTCATTCATCTGTATAACCAACACCCACCTCAAGTTTAATTAGATCTGGAGAGTAGTAAGTCGGATAAACTCCCAGCATAGTGATGGACCACTTAAACACTTAAAAAAAGGAGTTTCGAGGACTCCACGGCCCATTTTTTCAAAATTCCATAAAAAATTGAAATATTTTAATGTTGTGTGAGAAGCAGAACTTGTATTTATTCATAATTTAATTAGCCTTTCGAAAATACATCTTGTCAGTGCCAGAAATAAAATTAAAGCATAAAGTATGCGCCTATCAACCGAAACACATGCCGGTAGAATACGGAAGGATGTGAACAGAGTTGAAGGTAATATAGGCGATTAAATCGTGATTACGAAAAAGACTGTGAGCTTTACCTATAAAATTACGAGCATGTAATAAACCACCGCTATATTATACTAAAGGAGCGTAATAGCAGAATGAGAACTCACCTGACTGAAAAACTATGAATGAAAAAATAATCATATAATATATAAAGTAATTGTTGTAATTATTTTTATTTTATCTCCCAACAAAATATCGATACAAACGAAATGGCAACGAAATCAAAACACCTGCGCCTTTGTGTGAATACACAACTGCAAAAATTCTAACAAAATCGAAACAAACTTTGGCCGTACGTTTTTGTTGTTAGTTAGTAAAAGCACTGCCCGCTTACAAATATAAGAATTACAGTGGAAAAGAATAATAAATAAAGCAGGTGTAGATGTAAGTATGTAAATGTGTGTCAAGAGCGCCTAGTGAACAACGTTGAATAACAGGACACGAGTATGCGAGCGTGCATGTGCAGAGAGATGGCGGTGAGCACTAGTTCTCCCTTTAAATACATATTTTCAGTTACATTAATATTTCTAGTAACTTACTGGAATAATAAGCGCATGTTTTGCTTTTATTTCTAGCCGGAGAGTTTTGGAGAAAAAAACAGCAAGTTTGCACAATTCAAATACACATAAACTCATTCAAAATTCATCAACTGGAAGCATTTATCTGTATTTTAGTTTAGAAAGTTACACTGTGGGTATGAAGTGAAATAAATGAAATTTATGCCGTTGAGTTTCTCTAAAATTTAACTAGTTTAAGAACTTTTTCGGGACAATTTTACTTTTGTTTTAATCTCAAATTTGAAAAACTAAAAAAAAATATCTTCTATGAAGATCTTTATATTGATTTTGATAGGTTAGTTTATATGGCAGCATTATGCTATTGTATATTACTCCGATTTGATCAATATGTTCGGAAATTATGTTCAGCGATTTTAGCTTTGGCTTGGACAGTTATAGAAAAAAGGGTTTTCTTAAAATAACTTAATTTTGATCGGTCAGTTTGCATTCCATATTAACAACATAACAAAGAATTGTTCTATACAAAAACTTGATTTTAATCATTGAGTTTGTATGGCAGCTATATGCTATAGTGGTCAGATATCAACGGTTATGTCAAATTTGCAGCTTCTCCGAGAATTTAAGAATAGCTCAAAAGCAAAGACAAAGACTCAAAACCATAGCAAAGTCGACTTAGTTAATTACGCTGAACATTTTTATATATATCTATTTTATAGAGACTCCGACGTTTCCTTCTGGGTGTTACAAACTTTGTGAAAAATTTCATATACCCTGTTTAGGGTATAACTATAAGAAAAATTAAGGTGTGAGATGAATGAAATCCTCACTGCTCGCATACTATTAATAGGATCTGCTGCTGGTCGACGTCTATGAATTCTCTGTTTTAGTTAATTAAAATAATAGCAAATCTTGGCTCATCCGAGAGTTACTTATTCCGATATTATAATAACATCATTTTACGTGTGTTGCTATGTATATATTTCCTCGGTCAAATCCATGTAATAGTGGCTGTTAATACCACTGTTTTTCTCCTGTTTGAACGAAGTTTGCATATTCGTATTTTCGATTAGCATACCATTTCTACCGCCTTCTCGAATGGCGTGTTTAATTCTATTTTAAGTTTCCGTCAAGTGGACATTATATTCATAACATAGATCCGGAGAATAGGGTGAATGTATAACCAATCCGAAGCTAAATTCATTGAATTTCGTATAACTTAATTTGTGACTTTATGAATCAGTCGAATGTGAGCTCACTTCAACCAATTAGATCAAGAATAGAACTTTGACACTCTAACTCTCTGTCGATCACATTTTACAAAGAAGGAAATTCGGATCTGCGAAGTTAACATGTGCAAATATATTTTTAATTTCACAGTGACTGAACACAGAGCCTAGACCACTTAATTTGTTTGCGGAAGCTCTTGGGGTCTTCTGAATACAGAGTTATATATGTGTACTACAATCAGCGAGTATTACAGTTTTTTAGCATTGAGTCTGATTTCTTAATAATTTATTGCATTAAGAAACTTTTCTATTTCTGAAAACTGATTGTCAGTCAATCTAATGGTACAAATTCTGAACGGCCATTCCAATGGCCCACTGTATAAGGGCTAGAAATACAGTGTCTGTCTATCAACTTCCACGACTTCCACGAATAATTGTACGAGTATATGTGCATTATTGGTTTGTTCGTAGAGCTCATGGAAGGGCTAACTCTTTGAGCCACACGATGACCGGAAAGCTAAAACTCCGCCATTTGTCATTGTGAAAACTCAGTTCGATTTCGACCGTGCAACATGTAAAATGTGCCACAAGCGGTCTACGCGTTGCGTGATAAATTTAATCTGATCAGAAGTGAATAAAAATAAATAAGTGAATAGAAAAAGAAAAACACAGCATTAACTGCGCACACACTTACTTAACCCCAAAGTACAAATGCGATTGCTGGACTTTTGAAAAATATATTTCACAACAATATGTGTGTTTAAGTGATTGAAATGAATGTGCAATAAATTTTTAAATGGAATGCTTTTGTTTTTTACGCATCCTGAAGAATTTTAACTTAAGTACGCAATTTATAGTAATTTCCACAGCTCGCCATGGGCCATGGGAATAGTCAACCGAGCGTACAAACACCTTTTGCTCCTAAAACTAGCATTGTAGTGAATTATGAAAATATTATTTGAGGTGAAAGTGAAATCATTTCACATTGTAGCCTGTATAATCAGGCGAAATTTAAGTTCATAGTAACTTGACGTGTGGCGTCGCAAATAAATCGACATTTATAATAGTGCAGCAGTGACAATAAATTTTCTCCAGTTCGCTTTACCTCCCGTTCGCCCACCTAAAGGCAACTAGCAACCAACGAAAATAGTGCCGATTCCGCTATACTGGCTACCGAATGGATAATGGGTATTTGTTTAGACACAGGTGAGTTAAGTTTTAATTGCAGAACGAGTGAGTTTTCGGGGTGTTCATTTTGCGAAACTATTTATTGCACACCTACATACAATCCACGTAAGCATCGAATAGTCTTTTCTGGATATAATCGGACTTACTACGTATTGGATTTGCCGTTTATTAAATTTTTGCATTGTATAGTACATATAAAAATATATAATATCTTTGTACATGTATATAAAACTACTACGAACTAGTGATCACATCAATTAAAGAAAGCTTTCTTGTTGTGGCAAAGAGTGTGCTCACAACAAGAAATTTATTTATATTTTCAGATAGCCAAGCGGCTTTGAAATCATTGAAGTCTCTTAGGGTTTCATCAAAGATAGTGATCTCTTAGTGGATCTAACAATTTATTTCACGATAGACCTGCAATGGTTTCCAGACCAGACACTAGAAGTAGACACCAAAACAGAGGGAATGTATATGCCTCTGGCTACTTGTACATATTTAATTGACGTTGACGTGACATGTTATAAATATAGACGAATCTCAGTGGTCATAAACAGGTCAACGTGGCGTATGAAATAAGGACTCTAGTAGAAGTGCCAGCAGACTGGGAATATCATACAATGATTATACTTGTAGTAGAAGCTGTCAAGGCGTAGACGAAGAGGAGACTATAGAATATCTTCTATGCGTATGCCAGGACAATTATCGGTCTAGGGCTTCTGACGATGTTTCGGAAGTTGCACAGATACATATATAAACATTTTTTTATTGATGAAATTCATCAGATAGCAAAATTAGCATTAGTTATTAACTGAAGCTATAATATAATCTCCGAAGAAATTGTTCAGATCGGATAACTATAGCATATAGTAGCTGTCATACAAACTGAAACATCGGAATGAAGTATTTCCATGGAAAACTTTTTCATTTGACGAGAAGTCTTCTAGAAATGTGCTGATCGGATCACTGCATATAGCTGTCATACAAACTGAACGATCGGAATGAAGTGCTTGCATGGTAAACTTTTTGATTTGACGAGAAATCTTCATGAAATTTGGTAGAGGTTGTTGCCTACCTACCTACAAGCTAACCGATCGGAATCAAGTACTTGCAAGGAATCTTTTGTATTTTTAAAGGGTATTATAGCTTCGGTGTAACCGAAGATAACGTTTTTTCTTGTTTTTTTTTCAAATTTTAGTTTTTCTTGCATCAAGCTGCAATAAGCTCTTGCATACTCTTTTGTTTTTTTTTTTATTGGCTCTTCACAAAAATAAAATATTTTGTGTATATATAAGCATATACATATACATTTGTCTGTCCTGTTTGATGAAGAAGGAGAATCACCAGAATAGAATGCGCAGATTAACCTTCCAAAGACACATGGTCAAATTTTACAACTATCGGTGCGAGAGGGATAACAATTTGAGTGATGTAAGTTTAGGTATCATAAAGGTTTGATAAAAGGAAATTTTCGATAAAAATGAAACAAAATTTTGTACAAAATATTGCTGTTAGCAAAATGTAGCCTCATGAGTGTCATCCGAACTCAGCGTCAGACGAGCCAACCATACGCTAGAGGTTTGCTGAATTTTGTACAGCCCTTGAGTAAAAATAAGATATCGTAATAAAACTTTGTATACATATTTCTTGACAAAAAAGGAAGGACGAGTTCGTAAATGGGCGTAATCGAACCACTGCCATGCCCACAAAACGCAATTAATCGAAAACCTATAAATTAATATATAAAACTATATTTTGGTACAGATATTTACAATTGCAAGGGTCACCTGTGGGATACAAATTTTGAAAAAGTGGGTCTGACTCAGCCCTCTATTGGGTTTATGTACATATCTTCTAAACTACTAAATCTACAATAACCCCATCTCTTAGGCCAAATTCTCTAGAAACCCCTTCAAACAATAGCAAAATGGTTGAAATCGGATTATAACCCGGCCTGCTTTGTTTCTTTTGAGTTGCACCCGAACTATGCCCTTCTTTGGTTATTTTTATTTATTTTTAACTCTTTTTATTATACTCTCGCAACCTGTTGCTACAGAGTATAATAGTTTTGTTCACCTAACGGTTGTTTGTATCACCTAAAATTAATCGAGTTAGATATAGGGTTATATATATATAAATGATCAGGATGAAGAGACGAGTTGAAATCCGGGTGACTGTCTGTCCGTCCGTCCGTCTGTCCGTCCGTCCGTGCAAGCTCTAACTTGAGTAAAAATTGAGATATCTTTATGAAACTTGGTAGACATGTTTCATGGTACCGTGAGACGGCTGGTATTGCAGATGGGCGTAAATGGGCGAAATCGGATTACAACCACTCCTATTTTCCATATGACACCATTTTAAATACCACTTGATTCTTTCACTTTCCACTATGCAAATCAAGCAACAATGATTATATCGGCGTAAAACCTTGCGTGAATAATGCAATTAAAGTATGCCACCTTGCGGCCAAAAATTGTCTAAATCGAACCAAAACTGTTCAACCCCTAAGTACTAAATATGTGGACCCCAGTGCCTATAGTTGACCTTCTACCGAAAATATCAGTCAATCCACAAAGAAATCTCAAACGAGTATACCATTTGACTTTGCGAGAGTATAAAATGTTCGGTTACATCCGAACTTAGCCCTTCCTTACTTGTTTTTTAATTTAAATTATTTATAAAAAAAATTATAAAATTCATAAATTCATAAGAAACAAAAATGTTGCCCTAAAATAATCACACTTTAGTCGTTAATATCTTTTAAACAGTTAAGTTTACGAAAAAATCGTTGGAGACTTAAAACTAGAGGATTCAATTTCCTACCAAATATATGAAACGAAATATTTATTTTAAAGCGATGAATGAACTCTATTTTTAGAATAACAAACAAAAAAAATATATTCCTTTTTTGACTCACCCTAATAGTGTAGCTTTTATAATATATACTGTGATGTCTCGCCATTTTTGAATAATATCTTTGCTAGGTGCTTGACCGAGCTTTTCTTTCCATTTGTGGTACGCTCCTAAAGGTTATTCGAAGAATTCTTCGACCAAGAAGTTGTATGCCGATTCCGAACGGTCGACTATGGATTTTTATGAAAAGTTTTTTATATCTGAAATACAATTAAAGGTTTGTCAATACCTGCAAAGCGAAGTCGCAATTAGAAAATTATTTTTTATGTTGATCGGAACTTGATCCTTGTGAACAATAAATAGCAATGTCCGTGTTTTGAGTGTCGACTTGGATAAGAGATAAGAAGAGAGAAACCACTAAGACGTTGATTCATACCATATATTTCTGACTTAAGAAAAATTACATTGATACTTGAATACTGACTTTATATATGTAATTCTGGATAGAGGAGAGCCTGGAATAAGATAATTCAGCTTATTTACTTATCGGTTAACGAGTTTCTCAGACATACTCGCTTCCATGGTAGTGAAGGCTTCTTGAAGGCTATTTCGAAATGACAGTTTAAGTTTCCTCATCTGGCTGACAGATATCAAGGTAATGCTTTAGTGGCGCAATTGTGTACCTTTTCGTATACTTTTCGTAAAATATAAACTATTTTTAAATTTAAAAAGTGTTTTCGTAAATACTACTGCCTTAATAAAATTATAACGTACTTATAATCAATACATCAGTAATACCATTTTGCTTCATAAACTTAAAGTTTGAACACGTTATTTATGGAAATATTATCTAGAAAGAAATAGAATAATTGCCATGTGCGAGGGCGTATGAGCGACATTTGCCAGTGTCAACATGTAGTACGATGTATGTGATTGTGACGGCACAAGTTCATAAGTTCTAGAACGATAGAGTCGTTACAAACTACATAAGAATGGCAAACAACAACAACGTTTAACTGGTGCATCCCTCTCTACGTAAGGCAACAGTCGTCAGTCGCCTAACGAGCCAAATGATTGTGGTTGGGTGAAGTGCGGCATAGTTATGGCAGGTCTACTAATATGTATCTATTAACTACGATTGTTTATTAAATATTCAGATTGCTACAATGTTACCATTCCTCTATTTTATTTTATTATTTAAACATTTTTCAATTCGAGATACATAAAAACATTCAATATTGACCTAACTTCAATAGCTTAATGTCACTGCCAATGCCAGTACACGCGGTTGAATGGACACTGTAAATTACTATAAACTCATACGATATTTAAATTCCATATTTTATGGATATTTGTGTGTTTGCACAACTTAGTCGGCCATGGTAATTATGTGTTAACTGCTCCCTAACATGAATGCGCTTATACGCGTATATCTTTTTATATATGTAGGTATTATTGTATACTAATATGCAAATATTTAACTATTTATTCATATTTGTATACCCGACATTGATAATTAAAATGTGAAGAACGCGTGATCCAAATAACGGTAATTTTTCCAATAGCCTTCTCTGACAGATCACAGGTGAGTCGTGTCAAGCTGTCATATTATTTTTATTCAGTTGTGTTTGGCATTTTGTCATGGAAAGACTTACACCTAAACAACGTTTACAGATCGTTCGTCCTTATTACGAATATTCATGTTCTGTACAGAATGTGTTTCGCGCGCTTCGCTTAACTTATAGTGAACATAATCGGTCTGCTGAGAGTACTATTCGCAAGACCATCACCCATCTTGAAACCAAGCATTCATTATTGGATAATATTCGACCGAATAGACCACGTCCAGCACGCAGTGCAGAAAATATAGCGGCCGTAGTTGAGGGTGTAAACGAGGACCATGGAGAGTCGATTCGGCGCCGTTCGCAGCAACTCGGACAGACTTATGGAACGACTTGGCACATTTTACGTCCATATCTTAAATTGAAATCGTACAAAATATAGCTTGTGCAAGAAACTGAATTCGCTCGACCTTCCCAAGCGACATCGCTGTGGACTGAAGTCCACATATTCTATATCTGGTGGCTTGAATAGTTTTAGTCTAATTTGGACAATTTTTGGTCACAAGATGGTATACTTCAAAGGCACTATTTATGCAAAGTTTC